ATTTGGGAAGGAAGGAAGCAAAGTGCCCAAAAGGTTTAGCAACAGCAGTTGGACTTATATACCGCTTCATAGGGCTTTCAGCCCTCTCTAAGCGGTTTACAGAGTCAGCATATCGCCCCTCACAGTCTGGGTCCTCATTTCACCCACCTCGGAAGGATGGAAGGCTGAGTCAACCTTGAGTCGGTGAGATTTGAACTGCTGAACTGCAGATGGCAGTCAGCTGAAGTGGCCTGCAGTACTGCACCCTAACCACTGCGCCTTTACAGACTCAGCATATCGCCCCTCACAGTCTGGGTCCTCATTTCACCCACCTCGGAAGGATGGAAGGCTGAGTCAACCTTGAGCCGGTGAGATTTGAACTGCTGAACTGCAGATAGCAGTCAGCTGAAGTGGCCTGCAGTACTGCACCCTAACCGCTGCGCCACCTCGGCTCACCTTTGCTCTCATCCCCACCCCCATTCTGCCACCTTGCTCTTTTTTAACACTTCCCGCTGTCTTTTGAACTATCAATGTAATTTCTTCCTTCTAGTGACTTTATGATTGGTTTTTCTTTGCTCCTTTCTGTGGTTGCAAAAGCTTAATTTTTTTAGCTCCTGGCCCTTTCATTTGTTTTTGTTTATCACTGATTTAATTTGTTTCTTAACAGGGAAAGGGGATGTTAATTACCAACCACCTTTCTGCAGCGAGAACAATTGCTCATTGCTTTTTATTGTTATTATTTTTATTATTATTATTATCACAACCGCATTCTTGCATTCTCCAATGGATATTAAAACCCTCTTTCCCCGGGTTATAATTCTAGTTATCAACAAATTGTAAAAGTACCATCTGATTATTTGCTTTTGAACATGCCTTTAATAATGTACAGAACCTCTTTGAGGTAGTATCTTTCCTCCATTTGAAGCTTTCATTTTGATCATTTGTAACTCAGAATGTAACCTATTCAGAATGACAGAAATTACAGAAATTTTCTGTAATTCTGTAGAAGTGTAGAAGAGGACAAAGCCACATATTATATAGGTTTCATTAGTTTAAAACTGAAGTCAAGACAGCCGATTTAGCACTTCATTAGATGAGGAAGGAACTTTTTTTTTCTTAGTTATCTTGGTAACTTCTACTCCCAGGACAATAAGTTGTTATTTTTAACATGCATTAGAATCATTTTTAAAAAAATCCTTAAATGTGAATAGCTACACTGTAAGGAAATATGGAGTTGTATGACTTTCAAGTGCAGCTGAATAGGAAGTCTTAAAATTGCTCCCTCCATGGTTTCCTGCTCTCCCATATATTACAGTCACCATCAAGATCCTAATATAATATGCAATCATGCCCAGGTAGAAAGATGTTATATATGTTTCTGACAGTGGTGGGTTTCAAAAATTGTTTGAACCTACTCTGTGGGTGTGGCCTCCTTTGTGGGAGTGGCTTGCCGCCCATGTGACCGGATGGGAGTGGTTGCATATTATATTAGGATCT